TGCTTGAAGCCCTGCTGCTTTTTGAGTTCCAATGATCTCTGCCCTGAGTTTCCAAAGAGCCTGGCTAGCTTGCTAGCTTTTATTGAGATTTCTTGATTGCCAGTGAAACAATTTAATCTGCTGATCTCTTGATCAGGTGAGTGTTTTTTGTGAAGATGGTAAGTTTTAAGAACTACCTTAAGAACACAGGTAGATAGTGGCTTCTCTGGAAGGCTGCCTGTCAGATTGGAAGGTCCTGCAAAAGGTCTCTCAGGCTTCAGAAGATCCAATTTCTTCATATGGAAGCGCCTGAACAGCATTGCATGACCTAGCTGACATGGCACAAGGAATGCAAACTTCTGCTGTCAGGCTATGAGAAAGTGACTAGACACAGTGACAAAGCAGAAGAGATGGCCAGACATGTAGAAGGCTGATCCTCAGTCATGGTGACGCAAAGGGATGGGGCCCTAAGACACATCCTCCTACCCTGTGTGGCAGGGATGGAAAGGGAACTGTGACTTCTGCTTCGTGTGCAGCGCACAGTGGTTCCAGTGGGGAACTGCTGCATTACATACAAGTCTTTGTCTTTCAAAGGTGACTACCTCGGTTTAATTTACTCCTTCCTGCTGCTAGTCAGTGGGTAGGAATTAGGTGTCCTCTGTCATTCATTTAAGAATCATTATAGTATGAGTGTAGTTGAGATGGGTAAGTCACATACAGAATAATCACAGAATCATAGAATCAGTAAGGTTGGAAAAGACCTCAAGGATCATCAAGTCCAACTGACAACCCACACCACCTAACCCACTAAACCATGTCCCTAAGCACCACATCTGAAGTACTCCCTGGACTTAGGCTGACAAAAGTTACACCAAGCATCTTCCTTTCAATCATGCTGTTCCAATCCCAGGGACTATGTGCAGATGGCCTTAATTCCACCCGGGACAATGAACTTAGTATCTACCGGGTGCCTTTGAAGGTCTGGATCAGGCCAATAAGAAATGCAAACCTCTGTGGAATTTAGACAATCTGAACACATTATGAAGTGTCTACCTGATGAAGTAGTAGAAAGGAGTGCTTATCGCTTTAGACAACATGTAGTTTGAAATTTCTACAGTAGTTTTCAGCTGCACTTCAAAATACTTAATATAGCCTTTTGGGCTGAAATACAATATACAATACTTATCCAGGGAAGGGAGATTAAAAATACGTTTCAAAGTTAAGCACTTCAAGTAAAGAGATACTTGCTTTATTTTCCCAGTAGAATTCTTATTTAGGGCACCTAACCTGCATGGAGACGCTGGGCACACTGATGATAAAGGGGATGAACTGAGAGTACACAGACTGCCTTCACTCTAGCACTCGTTTCAGCTTTCAAATCACATAATTGAAAGTTTATTTGTGTGTGGTTTCCTTCTGCATGTTTTCCTCAAGGTACTTTTAAATTATACTACTTGACAATTGCTGCAGTTCTCTCTCTCCTCATCCTGTCTGGGCTTTACAGCCCCAGGTGCTGCAGGACTGATCCTACACAGTTAGTGCAGGAAGTACTCTGGCATCCTAACTGTCGAGTATTGGGCTCACAGGGCGGTGACAGCCTGGAAGAGGAAAGTACCAACTGTCTGTGGTGCCTCTAAGAGCAGAAAGGGTGTCTGAATGGGCCATTAACTGATTAGAAGGATTTAATGGGGCAAATCCAGCTGACCCAAGCTCTGTAATGTAATACCAGAAAGAGACCAAGAGGCAGAGTAGCCTGGGTGGTCTTGCCTTCTTTCTTATTTTTCTTGCTTCTTTCCCCACTTGGCTGCTCCCAGAGTGCTTGCTACCACCAGGTGGTTCCGGTGTTATCTGGGCCAAAATCTTTGTGATGTTTACTCTTAAGGCTTTTTGTGGATGTGGCACAGAACAGCGGGAGGAGGGTGTTATGGTGACAGCATTTTGCTGATTACGTAAATGAGATAAAAGACATGGAAACACTCAACCTTTATCATGGTAAGACTGAATGGAAATCTACGCGACAAAGAAAACTTGCTTCTCCCTGCTGAAGCTAAAAGCTTGCAGGAAAACTTTTCCAGAGGAGGTGACAAGAAGCTTTTATAATGGAATGCAGCAAGCAATCTAAAGCTCTTTCTAACATAGACGAATATATAAATAACACTAAATACATGCAGTCACCAAGCATTACATTTTTCATTCCTGTGTATGAGCCAGACCTTTGCAATAAATTAGCATTCCTTAGTTGAAGTAAATGGAACTGACCAATCTACGTCCCTGCCAATAATCTGGCCCCAGGGTCTTTTAAACTTTACGGTAACTTGCCCTGAAGAAGCAAAAGATACAAATGATACTGCCTTGGAAGAGTGACTCCCTCAACAGATGTTGAAGAGCCCTTACAGAAAAAAATATTTGTATTTTTATGCTTTTCATGCAAATTCTTTAAAACTGTATTCTTATCTGACACATCTTTGAAAAAAAGAATATCCACAATAAGGCATACATTACACAATTTCCACAGAGCCATCATCTTAAATTAAAAAAAAAGCTTTGAAAATTACAATCTTTCTAAAAATCAAAATAGCTTAGCCAGCTCTTAAAGAAGTGCATACATTTGTCATTAATGAATGCATTACTGCTTTAAACATATATAATTCCAAAATAATCTCCTTGAAATAAACACAGAAACAGCCATAAACCATGCTGGACTGAAATTGAAGACAAAGAAAGCAGTATTTGTTGTATTAAAACTCTGTCAAAACACATTTTAATCTTGTCCAGTCTTAGGAATTCTAAAACAACCTGGAATGCCATTTGGCCTTCATGATTAATGTGTACTTTATCACTGTAAACAGAGCTTCCTGAACATTTCTATCAAGTCTGCTTTGTAAATCAACATTTAAACAATCAGCATGGTCCTTTCTCTCCTTTTATGTTGTCATGGTTGTGTGCAGATTCTAAATAAGGCATAAGATACCTGGATTTTTCAAGTTTAAGTAGAGAAAAAGAATTTAACCACAGAAAAAAGCTGGAATTCTGAATGACCTCAGGTATTAGCTTTGTTGACTTGAATGGTAGAATTTGTGTTCTCCTTATGCACTTCAGGAATTAAAGAATTTTAGGTGACATGGCTGATGTGTTGATCAATAAAACAACAACAATCATTTACACTGCAAGTTTAGTGCAGTTTCGAAAATCTGCATTAACCAGGCCGGTAGTTGTAGCAGAATCAATAGACAAGGCATCTTGCTTAGTGGTGTGCATAAATGCAGTAAGACTAAACTTCTAACTCCCAATGAATACAGATTAAGATTATAAAATCCATATGCAGAATGTGTTCTGCAAATTATGCAACTACAGTGTGCTTGACAGCGTAATGCACAATGAAATGGTAAAAATATTAAGAAATTCTTACTTGAATTTTCACTTTGTTTCACTCAGCATTTACACTGTGTGTTTGCAGTCAGCATTCATCTTATTTTAAGACCTGTTGCAAAGGACCTCGGTAAATTTGCTGCTGTGTGTTCATCTGTCAGTTGGCTATACCTTCATGCTACTTTAAGTCTCTCCTCCTATTTTCCTAACCACTCATCCCCTTATTTGGCACACTTTAATCTCCTAACTAGCTCCTTCATGTTGTCAGTGAAGTTTCTGATGTGTCACTACTGCTATAGGAGTCAGTCATCTTTAGTTCATGATGCAGATAAAAGGAATTAAACTATTTTTAAATTAATGGTCTAATATGTTTGTGTTTAAACAACTACTCCAACTGGTATTATTTTTATCCAGATGCTTGAATTCAGAAGGATTAAACTATAGCTCTGTGAGATAAAGTAAGACAAACATCAAATCATTTTGTTTCTAATCTAATCTGCTAAATCAAACAGTTTCATTAAATCTGCTTTAATTGCTTTCTGTTTTTTGGTCAGCTGGTTCAGACTTCCCAAAAGTGTTACATTTTCTTTTTAAAAAGTTGCCTGAATAACCCACAGGATGGCATTTCTTAAATGCAGACCTACATACATATAACATATAACACAACAATTAGTATCTTGCATAGTAAAAAAACCTAATTATATGAAACACTGAATATTCTGAAGAAACCCAAAGAACATTTATTTTCATTTATGCATATACCAGATCTGTATTTCCCAGACAAACTGAAATTACCAAAAACCTTAGCATCACAATGAAAACAATTGATAGTCGTTTACTATAGGTGGAAACTCTTCCTACAGTAACAAAAGAATTAACCATTTTTGATTATACGATTAGGCAAAAGGAAAAACATCCTAAATATCTGAAAATTCTGCATTTCCCTCATCTGTGTTTTCTTTTATTCAGAGTATTGAGCTCATTACTAGTTCTCATGCAAAATAATCCAACCACTCCTCTGTTTTCTTCACTGAAAAGCAGGCACCTTTTATTCTAATCAATGAAGGACTCACACAGTACCATGTATCTGGTGGTGAAATAAACCTCTGCAAACTGCACATTCATTACTGGGTACTATATATATAACGCAAAAGAATATGAGCTACTGGTTTAACAGGTTGATTTTTTTTCTGTTTCTGCTGTCACGGTCAATTAGATGTAAATACTTTATGAATGTTACAGTACATATTGTTTAAACTGGCCAACTTACTAAGAGTTGATTATCTTAAATCTGTGAAGTAAACAAGAAGAGTGAATATTACAGACAGTAGCTCAGCATAAAAAATGTGATATGCCCTTGAACTTATAACACTGCAGTAAGCAATTACCTTAAAGAAGCCACCCACACAACAGAACTATGGCTTTGTTCCTTATCTTCAAAGAACAAGCCACTTGCATCTGGATCAAATCCTTTAAACAATACACGAACACTCAACATCAAAGCACTTTCATTTTCTTCAGTTATTTAATTTAATTAGAGCTAATACAGACATGAATTTAGACACTGATTACTGTGTAGAAAATCCCCAGAAAACATGTTCAAGAAATTAATCAATTTGGTTTTAATTTTATAAAGATTTTTCCCCCAGTACCTGACAGGAGCGCCTCTGCTCTGTGCAGGTTTCAGCAAGACTGTCACAGTACTGTCAGTTTGATTCAAAGGTGTTTCAAGTTCATACGGCGGCATAGAGGGTGCTAGAGTAAGAAAAGAAAAGAAGCAAAAATAATCATTATTCCTGTTTTTCTTCTTTCAAGCAGCAGTATCTTTATTTGAAAAGGTAATTTTAAAGACTTCTTTAAATATAAAGACAATATTGCAGGTCTAAGATGCTTTCTGTTACAACTGTGAGACAACGGTTAAATAACTCCAGGGAAAAAAAAAACACCAAAAACCACCAAAAAACCACAAAAAAACCCAAACAAAGAAATCCCAGCTCACTGCCAATTTCAAGACAGCAAACAGATACTGGTAGGGGTAAGTTTGCAGAAAGTATTGAGAATCCATGACTGGGAAATTAAAAGTTATCTCAAGAAGAGCATCTGTAAACGTGCATGCTGAAGTGACTACAGCTTTCTCAGTGGTATTAGGATACACTCTCAGAATTTGTCATTCCTGGGATTTAAACTAGTGCTGTAACTGTCCCGGGTCTATTGTCCAGCACAGACATAATTTACAATAATGAAGCAGGATTATCAGCATGACAGCTTATTTTAGTTTGAAGCCACACTCAACAGCACTTTTGCAAACCGTGTCTTCATTAAGGACTTACAGTTGTGATTAAAACAAACAACGCCTCAGTTGTTGTCTTTTACTGTTGCTACTTTTTTCAGTGCTATCATGTAGTCGCATTTTTATCATTACATTGGATGGAAGGCTGCTCAGCTAATTGGTTGTTTAGTAGCCTGTTGTATTCTTATTTTCCAGTTTTTAATGATGATACACAATTAAGAGATTTAAAAGCTATAGAAGCAAAAAGTGGTCACTGCAATGATTTTTTCTGACCACAGGAAAAATGCAGGGCAGTGAACTTCCCTAAACTAATTTCTGCTTGAAAAAGGAAATACATTTGGTTGGGGAGAAGATATTTTCTTTAGCAGGTTTTTCCAATGGCTAATTATACTTCATGTTGAACACGGAGACCTGTTTGGCATTTCAATTTATTTAGCTTCATCCTCCAGATACTGGTTACCTTGTGTACTATACTGATGAAGCTACTCAGAATATATCACGCTTAATGTAACAGTGATATCAACTTCTAGGCTCCTCTAGAAAATTAAATAGCTCCAACAAGGTGAGTCTTTCTTTCAAGTGTTATTTTCCAATCCTTTTCACCTTCCCAGTAGTAGCTGCATCTACTTGAAAGGTGTATGAACTTCTCTTTCCTTTATCCATATTGCCCTACATACCCAAGTAAGGACTACTTTTGTCCACAACTCTTCAGTCTCCTGTGAAAACATTAACATCTTTATTGCTTTTCATTGATATTCCCCAGTTTTGAAATGCTTCACAAATAAAAAAAAAAATAATGTTCAAAAACCTCCTTGTAAGTGGAGATGGTTTTATTCTGTTTAAAATCACGGGTACAAGGCACAAACATTTAGACTAACCATTTTAAGTAATTTGGGTACCCACTTTGAGAAGGCTACAGGCATACTTTAAAGATTCAGACAAAATTTTCACATATTTCAGTTTTGCAGTTTTGAATATATAGAACTTGTTCACATAACACCCCATTCTCAGGTTGACCATTCTGAAAATAAGGGAAACACAGAGTAACTGCACCTCCAACAAGCTGTATGAGCTCTGTATGTTTCTGGAACACTCTGCCATTTCTTGTCCTTGGTCTCCTGCCCACATTTTAACAAGTCTTGTAATCTTCCTACTTTATGACTCCTAGGTCATTGCACTCTGCTAATCTTCGTCTCTCTCCACCAGAACTGTCTCCCTATCCAGGGTATGAATTGTGGTTCTCCCAGTCCCATCTTTTAGTCCTGGCTACTTTTTATCTTCTCTACAGATATCTTGGACATTATCTATTCCTATACATTTCTCCTGCCTAGGTTAACACTCTTCCTTCTCCACATGGCTCACATGTAAAGCAGAAGCTCATCAATAAACAGAGAAAAGAGGAGATACTCTTCCTGTTCACGGTTTTTGCAACTGCACACGCTGGTCTTCAGCAGCAGAAAGCTCAGATGCGCTAAAAGGTAAGGCTCTTAGAGACCGTATCTGTGTTGGGTCACACTGAACTGACGAACACACAGGCAAAGCTCCTAAAAGCTTGGAGAACTTAAATGTATATAGTGGGGATGTCATCTATGGTGACACTGGCTACGCAATTCTGTCAAGTTTCTACCGTTTGTGGGCAAAATGAAACATTCACAAATTGCCCACATCTGGACAGATTTTCAGAGTGATGGCTCAGAGTAACGTCTCTCTTCTTGCTAAATATTTAAATCCCTGTTTGAAAGCACTTCACTAATGTATCGGTCACCAGAACTTTTCATTATGTCAGCCATGTTCCTGAAATTGATTAAATTCTTAGTATGAAAGGCAGCATACAAAATTTCAGCCTGCACAGCTGACTTGTAATAAAGTTATAACCAACAGAAAACAAGTTTTCTAACAGAGTGCCCATCAATTTTGATAGCAGGCATTGCTACAACCTCTGCTTTTGGTGGTACATTTTTCCATACAGATCACTTCATCCATCAGTGCCAATCACACAAATGCAGAACGAAATATGGCAGCTATTTACAGTACAGAATAGTACTACTCAAACACTTAAGACAGGAAATCAAGAGTATTTTACTCAAATGAAAATGCAGTCCAGAGTCAGACAAATTAAAACGCAATGACTCAGTTCAGAAACTGGTCAGAATCAACTGCTGCCACCTCATCTGTTCTAAAAAATAGTGAAACCTTTCATCCATGAATGTTCAGCATTTTTGATCCACATCTCTCCAAAATGGAGAGCGCTGGCCACATCAAGAGCCTCAAAGCCTTACAGTGAGACAATGAGTTCACAGGCCAATAGCACTGCAAAGCGGGCATCGTATTCAACAGCTAAAATTTCAGTTGTGATTTTTCTGTGATACTAAAAAATGTATGCATTCTTCTTCTATTTTAAATTCATCAAGAGACTGGCTTTAACTGCCTAAAGACAAGTCACAAACATTCCCTGTTAGTACAGTAACTAACATGAAGTAATGAGAGAGTGGGGTGCAGACAAGACAGCTTGTAGAACCTCACCACACAGTAGCTTGGAGGTTACTCTCATTCACAGGCATGCTTGTATTGTCTGTTTACACTAATGAGTTTTAGTTGGTGACATACCAAATTTAGAAAAGAACAACAATTTAAGATCCAGCACTATTTCCAAATGCCCAGATTCTCCTCCACTCTTCATAGTCTCCTCCTTTATTCTGGTAAGGGCTGATTCTGCCATCCTAACTCATATCAAGTCTTGCTATGTCAGAAGTTGATTTCTGACAGAAGCTGCTGCTCAGTATAGGAAAGGGGATGGAAAATTAACCCCATTGTTACTGATAAATGGTAATTATGTTTAGACTTTCTATAAAGAATAATTTTCTAACTTGAAAATTAACAACTTTTTTTTTCTCTACAGACACCTGCATTGCAATAATTTCTACCTTCCTCTAATTAGAAGAAAGAAATTGTTCTATTTCTGATTAACACTTGTTACTTTTTTCCATCCCAGTGAGGACAGAAAATGAGTGATGGGGAAAAATAGAAAGAATGAGAATAAAAGAGAAAGAATATTTTGTACCCAAATGGCTTCCTTTATCCTTTCTGAAAAGCAAAGTTGAACACAAATAGATAAGGTTATTTTCTGTAAATATTATCAAGGAGCCATAGTTCAATTGTCAGTTTAATTCCTGAGAAGACTGTAGAGAAGTAAAGAGTAAAGGGATTTCAACTGTAACTTTGCAAAGTATTTTGTCACCAATTACATAAGCATTTTAGAGTACGTAATAGTATGGCAACCTATCAGCTAGACAAATGCCTCTGGGAGGGCTTTAAAATATTGTTCATGGATCTGCGGAAGTGACAGAGTCATGCTGCTGTTATCTGAAAACCACTAGTCCTGATGCTCTTGTCTAATAGAGTTTCATATCCACTTCAGTCCACACGCCTGCTAGGAACATACGCAGGCTGGCAGTTAGCTACACTTTCCAAGCGAGCACCAGGCATATGGCATTTCTGCTCTACTCTCAATTGTTCACGGCTCATTAAAGAGATTTTCCAGCACCGTTACTGTACTAATTTAGAATCATGTCAAGGCTGACTAAGCTCTGAATGGAACTCTCATCCTCATGTCCAAAAAACCCTATGTAAATGTTGCAACAGCATCTGGCACTGACTGCAGGCACATAATTCATAGGGTTTCTTGGGTGATGAGTTACAGTTGTGCATAGGAATTTCAAAGTATGAACAGACATTTAAGCACTTGGAAGTTTTTCAGATATGTTAATGTATGTCACTTTGACATCTTCAGGGATGAACGTGTATTTTAGTTTTTCCATTTGCTGCTTGTTAAATCCTTAAGAAGAAATAAACAACAAAAGAATTACCCATGTCATTATCATAAGCAAACAATAATATTCTTTAATCAAGTACCTGATATTTTAGTGGTGAACTGATTTGTGACTGGAGGTCCAAAGCCTTTAGCTGTACTGGCTCTGATGGTGAAAGAGTAGGTAGTGCCAGGATACAATCCAAAAAAGAGATAGTGTGTTTCATTTCCCAGCTTTGAGACTCGTCCACTTTGATTGGATAAATCTATTTCTGGGTCAAAGGAACTGACTGCTTTGTAGGTGATCTGCAAAAGAATAAGAAAGTTACAAACTGCCTTGAGCAGATGGACAGAGATTGCATCTTTATCCAGTAAACCCTTCTGATGTATGCGCTGTCAGACATTTTATGATAAGCTATCTTACTCTCTTATACTCCTCAAATCCCAAATCCCAGGAAGGGACACAGAAACTCAGCCATAACTGGTATGAGTTATTACTTTTATAGATACAGAGACTTAGAGGTGGCTAGATTACAACTCTAAAGGATGGGTTCAGGCTTACATTAATTCCTTCAAGATGCTGTCTTTAACAGTGTCATTTTTTGAATTCATCTTACTGTTGGTTTTGATCAGCAACAATAACAAAGCCAAAACAACCAGGTAAAACCAGATAAGCAAATAATAGAAGGTGTGGCCCCTAGTTCCATCTGACTTCACTATAATTACACTTTGCTCTGAATAAGATTATCTGTAAAAGATTATAAGGACAGCTTGAAGCAGATTTTTCAGAAAAGGAGTAAAGCTTGTATTTTAGTCTGAAGCTTAGCTGTAGTAATTTCTAATTTGGAATTTTTTAGGTTATTTTATTGTACCTAGGTCAGATTCTCATTCGGAGGAAAGGAGAGATAAAATGTTAAGTAACATATGCAGAGTGTATATTGTATTCTCAGTTCCTTCTTTAATTCAAATGGTATTTTTAGTTTTCATTAGAAATGTTAATATAAGTTCACAGTAAAACTTGCTCCAGATTTCTTCTATTAATTACTAATTTCCATGCACTGTAATGAGAATTTTAAAATAAGAAATCCATTAAAAAATTAAAAAGTAAAAATGATTCATCCCTCCTTTTTAAAGTTTCATTTGTATGTGAATAATTCCAACACTCTTATTACATAAAGTGATAACTGACATTCTTTTTGCTATATTTATTCCATATCATTATAATTAAGAAGATACTTACTACATAGAAACTCTGAAGTGTTGGCATACACACTTCAAACACTTGCAATTTCCTAAAACCTCTGACTTAGTGAAATTTATTTTTATATGACCCATCTAATATAACATCAATAAAGTGCTGAAAATCAGTAATAAGTTTTTTGGTACCACCAAGATAAACCCTGACATTATTTCAGTAGATATAGGCAGATCCTTTACAACTCCTCATCCATAATTTGAACTGAAAGTGCCTTAAAAGCTGCCCAACTAACCAAATATTTGAACATTTACCAGTAAAGAAATTAAGGTTACATACTGCCCCAAAGAATCTCCCTTTCTGATGATAAGTGTTGTCATGTCTGTTTGTGGGAGAGTGCGTCATAACTTTTTTTTGGAGATTTTAAAAGCCAGGTTAGACAACTAGATCGCAACTGTGTTTTATATAAATCAGATCCAGTTCTACTGCAGATATGTGAACTAAATGACCTCTTCCAGCTCCCTTTAGCTCTGTTTTCTGTATTTCTATGATTCTTAACTGGATTTTCCAAAATATCACTTAAGTTTTATTCAAAATAACACCAGGCTACTGGAGACTCTGCATTCTATGTTAGATTCTTACAAATTTTTTGCAGTGTTTAGCTATTAGATAGCTAAGTGGCTGATGTTCTGTAATTAAATAAGTTCTTCCATGGATCACGCAGAACACATGAAAAAAACATGTATTTTGCCTGGTTAAAATGAACTTGCATTGTATCTGTATTTTATGCCTACTTGTAAGACTGTTCCTACTTTTTTTTAAACAAAAACTAATTTCTTACATCCACCATTGTTAACATCAGGTAGAAAAGGAGCATGAGGGTCATTTTTATCACATTTAGATGAAACCTTGCCCAAAGGACTGATCCTTTTATTCCTACAACTGTGGACCTGTACTGGTGATAGAGGAGCAAAATAGTATAATTTGTCATTACATCATTTCTTCATCTAAAGGCTTTTTTAATTTAAATGTTGGTAAAATAATTGGATTTGCACTTTATTTCACAACAGCAAATAATACTTTAATACCTGATACTTCAATGGACAGTTTTTCCCACCGCATATATTAAAAGACTATCTCCTTCAGGCACTAAAAACAAATGCCTGACCTCAGAAAACAGACTAAGTTATGAGATTTTTAATAACATAGAAAGTTAGGCACTTGGAGTAAGAAATACTAGACACAGAGGTGAAATTGAGCTTTCTGTCTGGGAGCAGTGATGCAGACTCAGGACTGCACATTAAGTTCATCTGCCTGCTGGGATTCACCCTTTGCTGTGGCTCTGCGCCTGAGTCACTCCCCCGCAGGGAGATTATCACGAATTGGGGAATCCCGCAGGCTGAAATATCCCCTACTCAGGCCTCCCTGTTACTAAGTTAGTGCTCATCTGCCAGGCTATCCTCTGAAAGGTGACTGCCACGAGCACCACAGTTTTCACAGACATACCAAATATGCCATATGCTTGTATAAGAGCAGCTTTAGTAGCTATACTTTTCAGATCAGAATTGTTGATGTACACAAAGCCAAGGCTTAGATGCCTCTTTGTGTATGCTCTGGCTTGCAACAAGGCGTAGGCAGGAGCTAGACACCTCACTTCTCAAGCTTGGGTGGCTTGGAGCTGTGCTGAATGCATTACCTTGACAGCACAATGATCAGCCAGAAAGGTGCCTACTGAGACATCATGAGTCTACATCAACTATAAAACACACATACCTAAATTTCATCTAACTTGTTTGGATCCTATCCTGTGAGCTACTTCAGTTAGATAAAATATATCTGAAGTGTACTTTTATATTTCAGCTGATGTATACATTTAAAATAGGTAAAATGTCCCTGTGATTCACTGTGTATATTTGTTGGCCTCCAGGTAGTTTGCCAGTCGTATTTATAAAAACTTTCTGATACAGTTCAGGCTTACAAGAAAACAGCAGGGGAGAAAAAGTATTAACAAGCAAGTCTCCAGCAACTAGGTGTCTGTTCATACCCAGCCACCTCACTGGATTGAGTTGGTGTCTTTAGAACTAGGGCCAGTTTGGTTGCATCGGTCTGTTGGTATCTTTTACTTAAAAATTAATTAAATCAAGTTTCTGATTTAACTGATTGCTTTGCTCCCCCTATTTCTGCTTTGAGGCATATTAGATAAACATACAAGGAGATACCACTATTTTATTTTCAATATTCTCTTCACTATTGAAATGCTAGGTTCTTTTGATGTTCAGTGCACAGTCCTGACTACCTTGGAAAGTCTGGTCAAGCGATTCTTTTCTACCTCCAAATACACCTGCACAACTCCCATTACAGCTGATGAAGTTATGTATGTATATATATTTAAGAATGAATTGCATATATACAGCACAATATACTCAGCAATGTAAAACTCACATGCATGCAGAAAGATGATTCACCACTGTGTGTTTCTATACACATAAAGCCTAACATCAATAAAAACATTATTATATTAACTAAAACATTCCGATCCCTGATGACAGGCAACTGCTGA